GTTGAAAATCGATTCCGACGTAAAAGTCGTTTCATGAAGATAATAACTTTGAAAGCTTACGGAAACGTATTTGAAGTAAAGTGAGGAAGGCAGTTTGCAGTTAAGATAAATAGCACAAAGGAAATGCAAACCAGATTTTAGAGTGGTTCGGTCAAACGTGACCTACATCCACTTTCGGCTTCCTCCTCCGACGAGGTCACCGGCGTCCACTAGAGGCCTTCCTTCAATAGGCGAAGGCCAACCACGGGCTTAGGAGACAACCCGTACAGAATTTTCACTCCTCTCTTGAATGATCGAAACTTGGAAGAAAAGAGGGAGGAGAACTTTTAGCTTATACAACACTTTTGAGCTCTAAAAATCACAGAGTAAGATTGGATTTTCGGTGCCCTTTCATGCAGGAAAGGGTGGGGTATATATAGGCCCCGAACTGGTTTGAATTTGGAGCTAAAAAATGTCATCTCCCGGATTTCCAAGGTCCTGGCGATACTACCGCCAGATTGGGCAATACGATCGCCTAACAGAGCTCGGAGACCGAGCTCTAGCGGTGCCACCGCTTGATTGGGGTGGTTCCACCGCCCAGTCTCGCTTGGAGACTGAGCCCAAGCAGTGCCACCGCCTGACTGGGGTGGCTCCACCGCCTAGTCTCACTCGGAGACTGAGCCCAGGCGGTACCACCGCCTGACAGAGGCGGTACCACCGCCCAGTCTCGCTCGGAGATTGAGCTCCTGGGCGGTGCCACTACCGGCCCTGGTGGTGCCATCGCCTAGCAGGAAATCTGGGTCTGAATGGGCTGATCCATTCGGCCCGATTTGGATCTGTCAAGGGCCCAATTGCCCTCAGATTAAGTTAATGGGATCACCTCTCATTCCTAACTTAATATTCATGCTAACTACGATATTTCTTAAGAAATTTACTGTAACTTGCTCCAGTGCGTCAATTGCTTCTTCTGGCGAGCTTCCGACGAACTTTCGACGAACATCCGACGAACCCTCGACGATGCTCCGGTTGACTTCCGGCAAACTCCTGGACTTGCGATGATCCACTTGACGAGTTCCGATGAGCTTCTTTGGCAAACTCTTGGACTTCTCGGATTTGTTCCCGCAGAACCTCCGATGATCGTCCGGACTTTCGTCGAACTCTCGAACCCCCGACTTGATCATGGTCTTGACTCCGGTGCAACTCCTGTTGCATGTCTTACTTCCATCGTAGTTAATCCTGCACATGTAAAACAAACTTCGATCTAGACAATTAATACTAAGCATTAATCAAGTTGTCTGGCATGTCATTGGTCCCTCGACGCTTCGTCCGATTCTTCGGCGCATCGTCCTCTCCTGTGGCCTATTGCCCAATCGGCCAGTTGACTCCGCAACTCCGATATCCTTGGCACAATACCCGCTCTTCTTGGCCCGATGCCCGAGTCCACGGCCCGAAGCCTTCTATCGATACGTCGACTGATTCACCAGTCCGACGTCCAATCTTCTGACATATTCCTCCGGCCCAACATGATTTTTCCTGCTTTAATTGTCTCATCCTGATCGAAGCATCCTTAATCACTCAAAACATATATTAAAACATAAACATAATTATCAATTAGTTTCATCATCAAAATATGAGATTCAACAAAAAAAAAAAAAAAAAAAAAAACTGATCCATTTTGCAGCCAATTATCAAACTAATCATGAATTATGAGTTCTTTCACAATCCAATTTATATGCAAAGAGATCAAGCATGCAAACTGATGTCAAAGAGCTTGCTTCAAGAACAGCCATCTGAGATAATATACAAGTTCTTCAGCATTGCAAGTTCTGTAATCATTTTCTTTAATAACAAAGCAATCATTTCACCCTTGGAGATAATATACAAGTTCTTCAGCATTTCTACAAATCACTGAAATATATTGGCACCAGGGGACTCCCAAGCCAGCATCATATCAAAAGTTAACCGGTGGAATTCCTTATCGGCCAAATAATCTAGACTCTTGATCACCACATGAAAGGTTCTGAAACAGCAATATTCAAATAGGTCTCTTGCATATGTAGTAGGAAGCTTGACACGATCAGGGAACTCACTCTCGAAAGATTGTTGCAATTTGCCTCTTGAAATGTGAAGAATCCTGCAATTGCATGGACCATTAGGTGCTTGCTGTTGTTAACATCCAAACAACATATTAACAATATTGATTTACACAATAACTAATAAGTTAATGCTGCCAATGAGTCAGATCCGATATAGATAATGATACAAATGTGACATAGATAATGACACATCTACTTACAGGCCAAAGAGTTTTAAGATTTCATTAGCAGTGGAAGAAAGTTAATCAATAAGACAGAGCAGACAAGATTGCTTCTAATCTTGCATTCAAAGATCGTATCATTTGATTAAATTATTGCAACGATACATGACTACTTTGAGGAATATAATGGTCAAATTTAGGATGATGGACTAGAGCATCATAAAAAGATAAAATTGTATAATGCTATTCATCGTACACCACTAATGGTTCGAGATAACAGCTTCTGAACTTCTTTTCAATTTTTTCCCATCACCATTCTAATAATACAAAAAGAATTGAAATTATATACGTACAATACTTATTGATATGGACAAAAATGGTAATGTGACACGCCATCCCCCTGAGCAACACACTGCCCGAGGCTCGCCATACCCTGCAGCAGCTCGGCCTCCCACGCAACTAAAGGTACAGTCCTGCCTTGCATCAGGTAACCTCAAACCTCCTCTATAAATACCCCCGAGCCCTTGGCGAAGGGAGGGGGGACACACTCAACACACCACACGGAGGTTTCTACTCCTCCTAAACCCCCTCCACATCTTTCGCTAATCTGATCGTCGGAGGGGTCGGGCCGAGCTCCCGGCCCGACCTGTGTGCAGGTGCGAGACGGTGTCGCCTCTTCCCGGCGCTGCGGCGGAGCTTCTTCCCGACCCGACCTACCGGCCCGACCTACCGACCCGACCTCCCGACCCGAACCACCGAGCTCGGCTGCCGGGAGACCCCGAGGAGCGCCCCCAGAAAGATCCCCGTCACCCGGACCCGAACCAAACCGCGACGGCCCCGAGGCCACGGCTGAAAAAGATACTTACCGTAACACTTATCAAAACAAGAAAGTTTTTAATTTTTATCCACAATCAAGTTCTGTAAAGACGGAGGGGAGGATATCATCAGAACAAGAGATAAAATAAAATATATTAAAACAAAAAATTTCTTGATTGTTCCCTTCAAGCAAATTTAGTGTGTTCCCGTTATTCCCTTATAAGAAAGAGAGCTCTATTGATATTGTGACGAGGGAGATCCTTATATTGCATAAGAAACGAGGATAAATCACTGTATTCTTGATTTTTCTATGAAAAAGAGTAAGTTCTTGATACTTACTAAAATAATGGGCGACGATGTAGTTAGCAAAGGAGGAGTAGGCGAATAGGTGCGGTGGGTGAACAAATGCGATGTAGTTAACAAGTTGGAATGAAGAGGAGAGGAGGACATCGATCCTTTTCATTTTATATAAAATTAATAATTTAAAAAATAAATAAATTATATTTTTATCTTTTTTCATTCATATCCTTTTTGTGCGTAATAACAAATGTAATTTTTTTAGAGAATTGAGATTAAATATTTTATTTTTATAAATATAAAATTTTTAATATTATTTTTAAAATATAAAGATCTAAATATTAATCATAATTAACTAAGATGATAACGTGGGAGTGCAAGAACGACCATCGAGTCAACACTGGGCGATCTTAGTCAATAAGTCAACAATAAGAAAGATAGACTACACTAATTGCACCAGCTTTTTACGGAAAATTACTAACACGCCTTTAAGCCATCGAGACCGTTCGTTTCGTGTCATTTCCCGTTCCAACGGTTCTGATGCGCGTGAGACGCCGACTTGACGCCCGCGTTTGATGGCGTCTTCCTTTCGAGGTGTTCAGTTCGGCTTCTTTCGAGCCTTTAACCTCGCATTCGCCGTCACTTTTCCAATCCCTTCTGACGGCGATTCGAGGAGCGAATTCCAGGGTTTTGTGATTCTTGTCGGGATTTTGGTTTCTGCGTTGATTTGAGCTGTTCTTATCGGACTTGACAAGTGATCGGCAGGATTTAGCGGAGTTGAGGATAGATTTTGGGAAGAAATTATCTATTCGGATTGAGAAAGAGGAAGAAGAGATGAGGGGAATTCATAATAGCGTGGAGACCGTGAATGGTGTTGCAGCGGTGTTCGTCTCTGCTGAAAGCCGGGTCCAGCAGGTCACGGTTCCGGTGAGTCGTCATACTCCTTTTTTGTTCTTGTGCTCCGCGTTTCCGACTTGGCTATTCATTTTGTTTTGCTTATATCTTAGTCAGTTCAGATCTGTGAGGCATTGTTGTATGTTTCAGTTATTTTTCGTATTTTAGTGACTCTTTTGATGTGTGATAAATATTTCAAACTGGGTGATCAGTAATCCCAAAAGCGTAAGCTTTTAGGAAAAAGAGCCCACTGTTCTAACATCGCTCACGTGAAAGTAAACCCAATTGCTTGGCGCAAGCCCAAACGAAGAATGATGATGCATAAATATTTTTTTTAACTAATTACTTGGTAAAATAAAGTGGGGCAAATACATGTTTCGAACTCAGAAGCTATGATATCATGATAAATATCTTGAATTGGATGACCAATAATTCCAAAAGATTAAGCTTTTAGGAAAGGACCCATTATGTAATAGGTTCTAATAATGTGGTTGCTAGGGTTACTTGAAGGAGAATTGTGAAATGATTTCTTTATTCTATCTTAATTTTGCTTAATTTTAAGATATTTTCATAAACTGCCCAGGGATTTGATTATGCTTTTAATAGCCTCTTCGTAGGGTATTAGTGGTTTATATGCTGTACTCATGCATTTTCCGTGCAATTTGTATTCATCTGTTCATGCACTGATATCATTGGATGGCACCGTCTAACATTGGGCATTATTGTAAGCTTGGGAACTGTCATCTGTGGAGTACATGATTGACCCTCACTCAATCTTCAGGTGGGAAATGATTTCTGTTTGCTATGTTTTGGATGCACTCACTTTTATTGTGTTCCATTTTATGACAACTTATCTTGCAAACATTTGATGGCCGTACTCGTGCTATGTTTTATTGAGTTCAGTTATAGTTATGGATCCCTTCCTGGTATTGAGCTTTGTTAGGGTTGACATCCCTTATATATTCAAGTGACATTAAACTATTTTCTAACAGGTATATATATACTGAATTAGATGGGTATCATTAATGATATGGTAAATGTAAACATTCCAATTTTTGGAAGTTTTACATTAGATTTGAGAACAGCATCTTTGTGATTAGATATGGGGACTAAAAGTCTATTGGAAGAAACAATAGTGATAGATTCATCTATGTTAAGGACGCCTCTAACCAAAACATATTGCAGGCTGTATAAAGCTGGTTCACTAATATTGTTTCTGACAATTAAAAAAAAAACAGACCAGGAAGGAGAATGTGGGCCTTTGCTCAGTTATAAGACTACTCCAGTTGGAACTTACATGTCATGGGTTTAAGTTTCTTAAAAACAATCTGTGAGCAGGTACAAGGTTGCACATATTTGATCATAGCCGGATGCGCTGTTTGTGGGAGCCATAAGCACTAAACAACATTTTACAAGTCTAGGAACAGATGAAGCTGAATTTATGCATGTATGTGTATTTATGTTATATAAATATCTCCTCTTTTGGGTGTCATCAACATTTATTTGTTCTTCTAACTTCCAGAGGAGAAGATGAACTGCTTGGCTCAGTGTGTATTGGTGCTTCGGGTCTCATGGAAATGGCAGGCGCATCAACCATACAGTCGTTGTTCCTGAACCTGCATTTTCTTTGTCGGATGCCCCTGCACTCAAAAATGCAAGCCATCCATCTGAACCGAGGCTTCTATATGTTGCACCTCCTTTCTCTCCGGTTTCCTTTCTGCCATCGGGTACTTCATCTGCTGGTCAATCTCCTGTATGTCCTCTATCTCTTTCTGTTCTGTTACTAAGTTTGTATTCTCCCAGCGGCCGAGTTTCACCTCCTGTCGTTTCCACCTTCACAGCCAAACCTTCGACTGCTCACTGTACCCCTCACCAGAACCCTTGCATTGCAGAACACCTTCATCTCCTGAGGTGCCAGTAGCCAAATTGTTGTTTACTTCCCTCGATACCAACTGCAAGAAGAGTGAGGTGTATAAGCTCCAATCCTACCAGTTCTATCCTGGAAGCCCAATAGGTTGCCTCATATCACCAAGCTCGGGTTGTTCAGGTACTTCATCGCCTTTCCCTGATCCCAAATTCTATTCCTGTGCTGGTGGCTACTTCCAATTGTTCCCTATTGGTGGACCACCAAAAATCTTAATTGCTGAAGGGATTGCTGCACGGCAACTTACACCAGCACATACTCAAAATGGTGGGTCACTTTTAGATCATCGGATATCGGCAGCTGCATCAATAGAGGAGTCTGCTACCATGCCTAAGAATAATGAACACTTGGTGGATCAATGAGCATCATTTGAATAACTACACAAGAGTTTTCGTTCTGGTTGTAAATGAAAGTAGCAGATAGCAGGAGAATCAGCACTGATGATACCTGCCATGACTTGCCTGAGAAAGTACTGGCTTCTGTTTCCCTCTCTCCGGCTAAAGAGTTCAAATTTGATGGAGGGGGTATTGTCAGAGCCTAATGTTGGTTCAGACTGGTGGGCCAGTGAGAAGGCCGCTACACAGCAACTGAGCATCTGGAAGAGTTGGAAATTCTTCCCAAGAATACATCCAGGTGTAAGCTGAAAGGTCACTTTGCCTTGCTTCATATACGTCAAGGGAGGATCCTATGTCAACTGACCACTGAGTGTCCTCATCTGAAATCCCAACGGCAAGTATCAGAACCACCTTTTAATATCTTTGCTCAAGTTACAGTGAAGCAATTCAATTGGGCTACATGAATTTGACTTTCAGAGATAGTACAGTTCATAAGATAAGATTTCAAATGTCTCTTGATATGAACTGCATTTCATTGTAACATATTTGGTGGAATCATGGGTTCTGTTCGAGAATTTCCAAGCAGGTACCTCTATATATTTGGTTCTGATTCATCTTCTGTTTACTATTTGCCTTACAACAGCTACTGCTTGGAAATGTGTTGTTGTTTCACTTTCTCACGTTTTCACGACTCCTCCAATGAATTCATGTTGTTGCATGGACCATACCTATTTCACTGCCTTTAAATTATGTAAATATGTTAGATCTGTAGGTTTGGTATGTTGAATATAAAAGACATAAAACAAGTCACTTGCAGCTGTCCCTCTGTGATTTTGTTATATACGCCAACACTAATGTACATGATGTCGATAAAGATAAGGTTTTATCCTAAAATCTTATTATCAACTATCATATTCTTTACCAATTAATATAGTTCAAATTCTTCCAAATTTGGATGAGTATAACTTCCGGTCCATTATTTTGGTAAATAGGTGTCTAATTTTTAACATTGTGCTTTAATAAAAATCAATATCTTAAAGAAACAATGTGCCCCACCTGGGGGGTATAACTTGGTTCCCAAGTTTTAGACGTCCCGAAACGGTGCCCGCCGTGACGCCCGCAATTTGCTTTTGTCCCTCGTATCTGGGTCCCGCATGTCCTCCGTCACTCCTCCAATCGCGTGGTAGGTGGCCCAAGGGGTGGATGCAGATCGAGGAAACGTGTGGTCGATTCGATCTCCGGTTCTCCAAATCAAAAATTCCCGGGCGTTCTTTATATAATAAATATAAATATGTTCTTCCGCTTTCCATTTCAACATTTGCATCTTCCTCGTGACGCCTCCGTCCCAAAACCTTTGTCCGTCTCGTGTTACAATTTAACCCCCCACGAGGCTCCTTTCTTACTACTCATTTATCAAGATACCCACGCGCTTGGGCTCATTTTGCAGCCGGTTCACTGAACCGGCCTTCGATTAGGCTCGGCCATACCCGCAGCCTCGGTGTTGCCGTTTGACAAAACGTGGCCGATCACTTGCCTTTTGACCCGCCCGGTTTGAGCCGGTCCGGTGAGTAGATTAGTCACTCGGTATGTCGACCGGGTTCGTTTTGCCCCTTCCCATTTTATTTCGGCTCTCTGTGTCCTCGCTCCAATTGCTATTGTTATTATTTGAGGCTACTCCTATTATGATTATTATTAATGTTTTTCCTCGCCGTCCCGCTTCGTCTCCCCCCTTCCAGAGAACACGCGGCCCCTCTCTTTTCCCTATCTTCTCCCGTATATAAATCGGGGCCAAACCCTAATTTTCCCAACCCTTTGACTCCCGTTTCCCCCCTCCTCTTCTTCCTCCTCCTCATCGGCCGCCGCCGCACATACCGCCGGTGGCCCCGTGGAACCCCTCGCTTCCGCATGCCATTCCGGTAACCAATTGCCTCCCGTCCGCCGGATCCCATGGACAGCGCCGGCGGGCCCCCCGATTCGGAGGATTTCGTGCTCCGCTCCGCCGTCCGCTCTGGACTGAAGCGGGAGTTCGTCTTTGCCCTCAGGTCCCAGGCCCAGCTTCCGTCTTCCCTCGGCCGTACCCGTTCCGGCAGGTCAGCCGCCGCCCCAGCAGCTTTTCCTCCTAGAGCGACCAAGAAGCGCAGGAAATCTGGTGGGGATCTGCCGTTGAAGACGGCTGCGACCGTGACGGATGTTGTGGATTGTGACGATGAGCCTGTCACGGATGTCGTTTCATCAGCGAACCAGACCCCCTTGGAAACCCTTGTGTCGGTCGATGTTTGTGGTGAATCTGCCGCGGAGGCCGCTCTTCCACGGATGAATTCTGTGGCTGCCCCAGTCATTGTGGATGGTGACGATGAGCCCACGGCGGATTTTGTTCCGTCAGCGATTTGGACCCCCTTGGCCACCCTCGTGCCGGTTGATGGTTGTGGTGAATCCGCCGCGGAGGCTGCTCCTCCACAGATAAGCCGCGTTGAAGCCCCAACCGTCGTGGATCGTGACGATGTGCCTACCGCAGATGCTGCTTCTTCTGCGAATGGTCCTGTTTTGGAAACACTAGTGTCTATTGACGGTTGTGGTGAACCTGCAGCGGAGACTGCTCCTCCACAGATGAAGCCCGTCAAAGACCCTACCGTTGTGGATCGTGACGATGAGCCCATATCGGATGCTGTTTCTTTAGCAAATGGTGGTATCTTTGAAAACCCCGTGTTGATCGATAGTAGTGGTGAATCTGCAACGGAGATTGCTGCTCCACAGGTGAAACCTATCAAAGTATTTGTCAGATCTCCCTTGAGGGGCAAAGCTGGTGGTCTGTTGAAATCTCCTAATCGTTGGGTCCAAGCGTTAGCATCTGCTGCTGATGCACCAATTGTTCTTGATGATGTTGCTGCATGCAAATCGAATGGCATCTCCCTTGATAATCGTTGTTCTGTGAAGAACCAGATAGTGATTAATTGTGATGCTGAGTTGAATGTGGATCACTTGGCATCCAAGAATCAATTAGAAAGCTCCAGAGCATCACAAATTGAGGATACAGTACAAGTATCAATTATTGAAAGCCCTCCTCCAGCGTTGACAATGAATAATGAAGAACCTTTACAGGGAACACCAACAGTAATGGACTATCAAGATGGTGGAAAGATGGAAAATAGCCTACCACAGAAGCCTGTGAGGAGGTTTACGAGGTCATTATTGAAGGTTCCTCCTGTAGAAAAGGAAGGTCCAATAGCGATTATCTCTAGTATGGAAAGTGGTCATGACAGCATTATGGATGATGACAAATTTCCAGGGAAGCCCAACAGGAGGTCTGGTATCAAGTCTGAGGAAGAAGATTCTGGATCAGATGTTGGTGCAGGCGTTAGCGGTGAGTCCACTGGATCAGAGGGAACAAAAGGTGGTGAAAACTCTGTTAATGGGTCTTTGAACTCAACCCCAAAGAATAAGATGGAACTGAAGATGTCAAAGAAGATTTCTCTGACAAAGCTACCTGGTAATGTGAGGGAATTGCTGTCAACTGGATTGCTTGAGGGATTGCCTGTCAAGTATATGACATCCAATGGAAAGGTATGCTGCAACCTCCATAAATAGAATTCACAATGTTGTCTTGGTCTTCTTTAATGTTTTTTCTTGCTGAAAGAGATTTGGAATTAATCTTCTGACATCAAAAGAATCTAAAAGCCAAATTGTACTCTTTATTAGTTCAACTGGATCCTTTTGTTCTTTCTGTATGTCTTGTGCTTTATTTTATGGTTGACTTTTTGTCTATGTTACCGTGCTGGTCACTCTATATATAGTTATTCCTGTACATTCTTTATGGACACTATGATTTTGATCAGGAATTGTCTTTATGACATTATTATTACAGCAAATTGAGCTTCACGGTGTGATTAAGGGCAATGGTATATTGTGCTCTTGTGCTACTTGTGATAGCTCAATTGTAAGTATTTTCTCTGTTATAGCTTCGTGCTAGTTAACATCGTGTTAGATCAATTTATTGTTTTTATTTATTTATTTTTTGGATGTGTGGCATGAAGGTTGTTTCAGCATATGTGTTTGAGCAGCATGCTGGCAGCACAAAAAAGCACCCAGCAGATTTCATTTACCTGCAAAATGGTAATAGCCTCCATGATGTGGTGAAAGCATGCCATGGTGCTCCTTTAGACATGTTGGAGGCTGCAATTCAAGGTGCAATTGGTCCAGTGCCTCCAAAGAAATGCTTTACATGTCAAAAATGCAAAGGTGATGTTTTCTACTTTGAGTTTATGAATTAATTACATTCACTAAGATTATTGACATGGTTGCATGCCACCAATTTTCTGTAGTGTCATTTTCCACTTCGCGTGTTGGGAAATTTGCATGGTTATGTGACTTGTGTCTTGAATTAAAGCAACTTTCGAGAACTCCAAGCCCACTCAATGGAGTGGTCAGCTCTACCAGGTGCTTCCTTTGTCCTGTGTCAAAGATTGGTTTTGTTTCTCTAGCTTTGTCATAAAGGAATCTGATCTATAATGCTTTGGGTATGTTTTGTTAGTTTACCCATCATTTGCTGGTGGTATGTTCTTGTTACTGTTTCTACTGTTGTACAGATCATGCTTTGACATTCTCAGATACTGAACCTGTGCTGGTACCTGGTTAGACCTGTGACGGTATGTCGGCACATGCTGTGGTCCGTGCCACTGACCTAACAGGCTATTGGGCTGGTATGACTCGGTCTGAGTGAAACATAGAACCATGGTATAAACCAGTGATAACACGAGGCTCTCGGGCGTTTGCCTAGGTGCCCAGGTGAGGTGAGTTTCGAGCGCCTCAAACAGGGGTCAAGTTGGCATCTTCGATTGGGTGCTTAGGTGTGCCCCTAGGCATAGGCATAGGCATAGGCATTGGGCGGCCCAAGCATTTGTGTAGCCCGTTGAGCTTCCTCGACACCCCATGCTGCCTCCTCTGTGCTTCTCCTTTTTCCCACCCCTCTCCTTCCTTCCTACTATCTCTCTCCCTCATCCGTAGTTGCCCCGTTGATCCTCCTGGATACCCTCCTCTCTCCTCTTCCTCTGTGCTTCTCCCCCCTCCCCTCTCTCCTTTCCTCTTGTTGTCTCTCCTCTACCATCGCCCCTACTGAGTGTCCCTGACGACACCCTCTCTTTTCCCTCCTTCATGCTTCTCCCTCTTCCCCTCTCTCCTTTAATCCCTCTTTCTTCTTATCTGTCATTGCTCCCAGCCTTCCTGACAGCCTCCCTCCATCTCTCTCCCTCCTCCTTTGTGCTTCTCCCCCGGGTAGGCCTCTGTTGCAATTAGACCATGGCTGTCATCCTCATGCCTCTCTCTACGTCTTCCCAGCAAAGCCGCCGAGCATCCTTTTTCTCTAATTCTTCTTTTTCAGCTTGTTTCTCTCCCCATCAGCCATGATCTCTCTTGAATTTAATGGTAATGTTAATTTTTGTTAATTATAGCCTATGAATTTTTTAAAGGATTAAAATTTTCATTACTATTACTGTAGTTTTAACATCTTGAATCATAACAAATTTAATTTTAGGATTGTTATTCGATTTGAACAGTGTAGTATTTTAGTACTTTAGGGATGGTTAAATGAATTTACTTAGATGTAGTAGTGGTGATATTTTGAATATGAAA